CCCACACCCCCACACAACTGACAACCCAAGTCTGGACCCAGTCCCAGCCCCGCCCCCCCCCCCCAGTTCCAGTCCCCCAGCTACAAGTCTGTGCAAAGAAAAGGGAGCAATGATGGAGGGTCCAACTGCAGCCAAGCTTCATCCCCTCCCTTGACACACCACAGGCTGGTCTGGATAGTGGGTCTTCCAGTTGCAGCCATATCCAAGGAAACTGCTTTAGAGCCTTTGAGAGATTCGGCCCCAAGAAGAGGCAAGCCAAGGACCTTTAAATATATGAAAAGTTTGTGTTGAAATGTTCATATTAATCCCTACCTATGCAAACATAGTTTTTCCTGACTGAGTTTGTTTTCCTGTGCCTTCGAGTCTGTTTCTGACTCCTAGTGACTTCCTGGACAAGTCCCTGCAGTTTTCTTGGTAAGTTTTTCTTGGAAGTGGTTTGCTCTTGTCTTCTTCTTCTAGAGCTGAGAGAGAGAGACTGGCCCAAGGTCACCCAGCTGGCTTTGATCCCTCAGTTTCTAGCCTGGTGCCTTAATCATGACACCAAACTGGTGCTTCACTGAAACTTATGTCTTTGTAACCTTTTATCCACTTCTTTTGGTCCACCAAAATAATTGTTGCCCAGGAGCTGTGAGGTTACCCCCTTGTAATGCTACTGTGAAAAGTCTTGGCCCCATCTGCTCCCTTCATATACTGAAGAGTATTCTGAATGGGGCCCTTCCATATGTGGGATGCGGGCAACTGCCCCATCCTCAACCAAAGGCCCTGACTGCAGTCCTCAGAAGGTGGCTTAGGAGAAACCTGGCATCATGAAAGAGACACCAGTGCACCAGCCCGAAAAAGAGGAGGAAAGCAGCTCTGAAGGTGGCCAGAGAGAAAGGGCCCGGTGGGCTTCTGTGCACTGGCAGCATCATCCCCCAGACCAAGCACACCCAGGTTGGTGATGGCAGTCACAGCACCAGCCCCTCTTGCAGGATTGCCTGCCAGGCTGCTGACTCCCAAGCATGGCAAGTGACAACTGCTGTCTCAGTTGTGCCTTGTGCGCAGCAAGGCTCCTGTGGGCAAAGCCAGTCCTGGGCCCAAGATGGGTACCCCATGATCTGCAGGGCTGCCAGAGAACAAACTCTATTCTGAGTGCGGCAGGCCAGCCAGGCCGAACTCACGCAACCACAAGGGTTGTTGCTTGGCACGCCAAATGTACTCTTTCCTTGGGGACGAATGGTGGTGCAGTGAAACAGACTTCTTAGCCACGACAGGCATTTTCTGGGGATCTAGCCTGGAAGGCTAGGCTTTGCTGAAAAAGACCATAAGGGTCTTTCCCCATGACTAAGTTAAACTGCACCCACCCATCCTTGAGCTGTCATAAAACGATGCTGTTGCAGTAGGGAAACGTCTCTCAATGCAGAGGGTCAGGAGGATGACTTTGACAGAGATACAGTGGGGCAAAAAAGTATTTAGTCAGCCACCAATTGTGCAAGTTCTCCCACTTAAAAAGATGAGAGAGGCCTGTAATTTTCATCATAGGTATACCTCA